GTTTCACGGATGCAAAACAAACTATGGCCCAGAAAAACAAGTCGGCGCAGCGCTTCCAACGAAACGAATTTTCGCCTCTATGACTAATTGCCGCCCATATAACACGGCACTGCCTCATTTCTCGTTTTATTCTAGCAGAAGCCTTTGTCTTGTCGCCAAAGAAAAATAAGAAACCAAAACGAAAATGGCAGACTCATCATCGTCGGCACCGAAATCCGATTTGGAGACGGAAGAATTGCTGGATCGAATGCTTACTCGATTAGCTTTATGTGACGACTCCAAACTTGAAGTGCTGCTCTCCAAGCTTCTCCCTCTCACTCTCTCCTCTCTCTCTTCCCAGTCCACCGCTGTTCGTAACAAGGCAAAACCTACGTCACTCACTTTTCTTTGTTTGGTTCTTAATTTACGGCTTTTGTGAACTAATTTTGGAACTTTCTAAGTGAATTTGCTTGTTAATTGATTTAATTTTGGTGAGTTTTTATTATTTTAAAGAACTGTTAATGTAGGTTTAATAATTTTGAATGTATTTTTAAGCACTGACTGATTCTTAATCAGCGTCAATAAATTGGAGAAGGTAATCTTATAGGGGCAAGGTTTATGTGCAATTTCAATTGTAAATTGTGTTGAAATTAAAGAAATAGAAAAGTGGAAATAACAATAAATGAAATAAGGGAGAGAAAGGAGTCTAGCCTAGATATGTTGAGTTAGTATTTACTTAGCTAGTATTTCAAGAGATTGACTTTGTTATTTCAATTAAGTGCAAAGACAGTAGTTTTGCATTTTTGTCATCGCCATAACCAAAAAAGTGAGACAACATTCTTGGGAAATTGGTTTTGTAATGCAATTCAAGGAGTTGATGTTTGTGCGACCTAAAACTTTTAGGGGAAGTTTTGTATAAGGGAGAATGACAGAACCAATGAAAAAAAAGATCATGTTTTATGTAAATATATGACACATCTGATAAATAATACTCTTGTCTGCGCATGCAATGTGCTTGTATTGCTTAATAGGTCGAGGAGGTTTTCTAAGTCTTAGATTGCTGGAAGTTTGCAAAATAAAAAAAATGGTGTCTGAATTATTTATATAGGTTCTCCAAGTTGATTTGGTAAACTTTATGTTGCTTATAAACTTTTAAAAGGAACATAAGAACTGTTATTTTTCTTATGTTCACCTCATGGATAATTTTCCTCTCTACTTCGAATGGAGTACTTACGCATGATATCTAGGATTGTATTGTTCTTTTTATATCTGCATCTGTTGAATTTCTAGTATAAAAAATGATGCCAAACTATTAGGTTCCCAGCTAACCGTTTTGGCTTGTTCTAGCAGGTTCTTGAAATTTTGAGTCATGTTAACAAGCGAGTGAAACACCACTCTGATATTGGCTTGCCATTGTTGGAGTTATGGAAATTGTATACAGAAGCTAATTCTGCTCCAATGGTTAAAAACTTTTGCATTGTGTATATTGAGATGGCATTTGAGCGTGCAAATGCAAAGGTAGCGCCTATAACTAGTTCGGAAAATTTGTTCTTGTTTTCAAGTGGAACTAATCTTGCAATCTGAAACCTTTTGGTAATTAATGCTTGACTATGTTATAGGAAAAAGAAAACATGGCACCTATGCTTGTATCTAACATTTCCAAACTTCCCCATCAACACCAAGAGATTATAATGAGGATTGCTACTAAGGTATGTTTTAGCTTTATATCTGCTTTTTGAATAAAAATTGGTCTTTGTTTACTAGTCTTGTGATTATTCTTTACTTATATGGAGAATTTATTGAACCACTTTTTAACTCATCAGGAAAATTTTCTGAACCTCTTCTTCAGTCACATAGAAACCTCAAAATTGTCATTCTTCAACTGCATGAAGCATAGGAGACCTGTTTTCATTTTCTATTGTAGGTCCTTCATTTTAATAAACAATGTTTAATAGAAGGCATTAAGTTCTTCCCTTTTTGTTTTTGTTTTAATTAGGAGGATATCTTATTACCATTTTAGTAATTATTATTACCTCTGTTCCATTAATTTGACACTTTTTTTAACTTTTTCTTGTTACACTTAGATGACACATTCAAAAAAATCAAGGTAATATTAATTGTTTTATCCCAACTTTGCCCTTATCTAGATATGTCCACCAAACATTGTATGTCTTAAGAATTAATTAAAGGTTAATTTAGTCAGTTACTCTTATTTTTCTAGAATTGAGGTGATTCAATTATTTTCTTAATTTTTATGAAAAGTCAAAAAGTGTTAGAATTAATAGAACGGAGGTAGTAACTTTCTTCCTTTCATTTTTAATTTTTCTTTTATCTCCAAAAAGATCAAGTAAAAAAAAAAAAAAAAAAAATCTAAAAGATGCTAAAGAATAATGAAAGTTAATTTTAGTCATTACGCTGTTATTTTCCCTAGAATTGGAGGTGTCAATTTCATTTACTAAGTCTTAATTTTTTATTGATTAGATAGCTAAAAAAGTTTAGAATTAATCAAACGGAGACTAGTAACTTTAATTTACCCTTTATTCTTAATTTTCTCTTACCCGAAAAAGATAAAGTAAAAAAAAAAAAAAGAAAAAAAGGAATACTGAAATTTTGTAAGTAATGGAAGTTGTCTATCCATCTTGAGATTTTGTTTACGGAGAATAGTTAGTCAATGTGTGGTTTTGTGTTTGCGAATCTTTGACTTCGTTTCAGGATGATTTGGCTTGAAAATGCATGCAAAAAAAAAAAAAAAAAAAAGATACTAATTTTGTTAATAAAAGGAATTGTCTATCCACTTGGAAATTGTTTTAGAATGTTTTCATGTGGTTGTTTGTGTTTGCGAACTTTGCTTTGTTTCAGGTGATTGGTGAATGTCATGCTGGTCAAATTGACAAAGAGGTAGCCATAAAATATAGACTAGCAAATGGTTCTCAGGATAGAGAATTGTTCATTGAATTCTGCCTGCATTTGATGTTATATCAGCAGCCATCCCAAGGGTCAGTAACTTAGTTCTTCTTGATAGCTGTATAATCATTTAATTGCACTGAAAATTTCCTCACAAACTGATCATTTTGCTACAGCGGAGGATGTCCACCTGGGCTTTCAATTGCTCAAAGCCATCGTGTTACCGGAAAGCAACCTTTGAAAACTGATGAGCTTCTTATGAGAAAGGTGAAAAATCTGAATACTGTCCAGTAGTGGTGATGATGGTTCTTTTCTTTGTTTACTTATAGTTACACTCTATTCTTTTGGCTTTTACGAGCAGTTGGGTGTTTTGAATGTCATTGAAGCAATGGAGCTTGATGCAGAACTTGTTTATCCTTTGTATCTGGCTGCTAGTGCTGATTGGTATAAATAAAAATTTTCTCTATAACTTAAAACAATAGTTCACTTTTATTACTTCAATATTCTTGAATTAATTTAAAATTTGGATTATTTTTTGTTCTTTGGTGATTCAATTTTTCAAGTCAAGAGCCTGTGACCAAGAGAGGGGAGGAGCTTCTGAGAAAGAAGGCATCTACTGCTAATTTAGATGACCCAAAGTTGATGAACAAATTCTTTTTACTGTTTAATGGTATGGCTTTAAGTTCTCTTAATTAGTTTTATTAAATGTTTGAATCTGTTATGCAATTCCTTATATTGAATAAAAAGTTGATTTGCAGCAGGCTTTAATGTTATTATTGATTTGTAACTGGCGATGTGTTTGAGCACTCTTTTTATGGGGTGGGTGTCTGGATTTTCATGGTTTTCTACTCCTGCTGTTTGTGTGTAGCATGAACATGTGTATCTCTCTGATTTTCTTTATTGGAAAAGAAAAAGAGGAAGTCATATCTGAAAAAAATAAGTTTGGTTTACAATTTAGCTTGACAAGGATTGTTTGACTGTATTATAGTGACTGTTTTCCTTGGTACAATGTTAATGCTTGAGACTTGTATGTCATGGGCCGAATATCATAAAAATAGAATCGCCAAAGTGACAAGGGGACACCCTCTGTATCATGTTGAATCTTTTAACTGACTGATGTATATTTTGTGCAGGTACTACTGGAGCTGAAAGTGGTGCTCCAGAATCTAGAATCTCTCCTGCAAGCATTGCTTTGAAAGTAAAGTTGGTGTCTATATTTTGCCGATCTATAACTGCAGCAAACAGCTTCCCGGCAACTCTGCAATGTACTTTTGGCTGCATATATGGTAATAAATTTTCTCATTTTAATTTTGTCTCGAAAATTAGTATGGTTACCTACCCCTCAGGCGGACTGTAGATGACCCTCTATAATAACTCATTTTTATGTGGGTGCACTGTCATTCCTTTCATGATGAAACATGTTTTCCACTCAATGATATTCTTCTCATGTTTATGCTCCCAAAGAGACAGGCTTAAATAGCCAGAGAAAATGAAGAAAAATTAAACAGCTATTGAAATAGTGCTTGCCAGTTGTGTCTAAAATCAGCTAAAGATACCATTTGAAAGCACCTGATGCCAAAGCCCATCAAGAGACCAAGTATTATTTTTAAACTGTAACAATCACACTGGTGGTTTTTGGTTCCTTGATATCATGTAACTCTCTAAGCAAATATTCAAAATAACTGCAAATATAGCACAATGGACTGACCTTTTTTTTCCCCTTTTCTTAACTAAGTTTCTCATTTAATTTGCAAATATCCCTCTTGCATCCACGTTTCCCAAAAAAGCCAGACAATAATATCAATAAAAAGGATGATATTGCTGTTTTCATATCATATGGCTCATATAAATGCACCTTGTGCTTTATTTAGATTTTTGGTTTATGGCATGCTATCTTTCATTTCGTCACTTCATGCCAAGGTATCATTAATAATTTGCAATGCTGATTTTTTCCTTTGTCTATTAAATTTCCGAATGCTTCAGGAACTGGCACCACTTCAAGGTTGAGGCAGTTGGGAATGGAATTCACCGTATGGGTGTTTAAACACGTAAGGACATTTTCTCTTGGTTTGGATTTGTATTTTATTTATTTTTTTTTTTGTAGTAGTAAAAACCCTTGACCTTCTTTTCTGAAAAAAAAATTGGGCAGACAATAAGCTTAGGTATCAACCCTCACCCTCCATCAAAACAAAATTTTATTTTTTCTGTAGGGACCTTCACAAATGAAAGAAGAACAAACATAAAGTGATTCCATATAAATTCTAAAGTATATGACATGCTTTGTTAAAATCCTTTCCATTATTTTCTGTAAAACATCCAGCTTATGTAATTGTTGCCAGGTAGGTTCCTTAGACAAGGAGAAATATCAATACATTTGCTTCAAGTTTTCTTGATCTTTATCAAACCAATTATTGGTGTTATCACATGGAAAGGAGTTTGTTACTACGTTTATCATGGGCTTTTGATGCAGAACCTAGCAACAAGGACTATCCTGATAACCAATTTACTAAAATTCAAATTATCCGCTATGTCCTTAGTTTGTGGTGATAAAATATGGTTTTTCAGCTTCTGTGTAGGCTTAGTCTAGAGGGGTTGAGGGGTCTCTTTGAATTCAAACTTGATTGGAAAGCATTACTTTTTCTTTTTTTTTTTTTATTTATTTATTTATTTTTTTTTGGTTTTTCGTAGATGCTTCTTTGAGTTCTTTTGTAGGTTTACTTGTTCTTCATTGTTTATACTCATTTCTTGCTCTCCCAGTAAAGTTTTTGCTTATAAATAGATAATTAAAAATGGAGTATGCTTTGACAAAATCAACTGTGCTAGCCTAATAACAAGAGTCAATTATGTGACATTTTATCTTGGCACCAAACCTATTTAAGGGAATTGAAGACCTAATAAACTGGGAAAATATGCTTACCAAAATGTATGTTAAACTATATGAAATTTAAAATTCCTAAGTAGAAAATCTCTAATTTTATTAGGCCAATTGAAAATAATAACTTACTAAATCAAATTAGGAAAATATCAATCCATATACACAAATTTCTATATTCTTGTGTAGGAAGGCTTCAAAGCTAATAGTGAATCAGTTGGTGATGATAAAAACCTAATAATAAGGGTCAATTAGGGTTTTTTATATAGGTAAAACCTGTTATAAAATAGGGACTCAAAACCTAATTTGATTTTAAAACCAAGCTTACTCAATAAATCTTAATGTAATGCAACTACGATCTTCCTAATAATATATCTTCTGAATAATAAAATTTAATTTATCAAAATCACCATTTACATAAAAAAATTTGCAATATCCTATCTCCAATTTTAATCATTTTTCTTTGTTGGGAAAACTTGAGCTTGAGCCTTGAAATACCAAAATAGCAACAACACTGTAATCTTCAATGGCATTGAACTAGAAGCTTGAACTTGATAGGATTGTCATGCTCTTTGGTCAAATCCAACATATCAAATGTATTCTGTCGAATAGAGTTATGAACAATTATACCAAGATCCAAAATGGACTTCTATTTTATGATTTTTTAGCAATCCTATGAAATGTCTTTGGATGCCTAAGTGGGCATGGTTGGTTCTGGAACTGGCAATCCCAGTTCACCAAATGGTGGTTGAAGGCCTCCAGCAACCGGAACCAGGACCAGTGTGGAATCGGCTGGTTTTGGGCTGGTTAAGGTTCCCTTTGTCCTGGGCTGTTTCTGGTCTGAACTGGCCTGTTGGCCATGCCTCATAGTTAGACCTGAAATATTGCATAAAGAGTGAGCAAAAAAATCTTGTGGCGTTTTTGCTAATCTTGGAGGCACACTTACCTGGAATAAAATAATATATTTGGCCGTATAGAAATGCTAGAATCTTTGAGGATTAAGTTTTAACTTTGTAGATAACCGCTGGCTATTATGATATATTTTTCTTCTTATTTGGTCCTTTTTGTTGTAGATATCTATCATCTTTTTAGGGCTTTATCCTACTTGCTATAATTATCCTTACTTCTTCTTACTCATATATTCTTTATTCCTTTAAATGGAAGGTAACTTAGAAAAAATTGACTTAAAAATGTGATTTGTTTTGGTGTACACTTTGATTCTTTGTCCCAAATATATTTTTAGTACTTGAGGTATTTCAATATTTTGTTTCAAAATTACCAAAAAATTAGTCCAAAATGATGCAAGTAAGTTGGATAACCCTCAAGTAGCACAATCATTTTAAACATCAGGTTTCCAAGACCCGATCCACTTCAGTCTTTGGTCTTCACACCACCTCTTTAGCTGACAAGACGGTATCTCTTTCTTTCAACAAGTTCAGAGAAAATTGTTGTACGACAAGTTTGCTTAGACTTTGGGGAGTAATTTCAGTGTGCAATTACAGTCTGTAAATGGGTAGGATTGAGAAGCAGAATTAAACTTTCGTAGCCACCACACTGAGGTTTGCATTGGCGTGATACCTCGGTGTAAAAATTGCACCACAATTTCCAAACCATCATAAAACATTCACTTGCTAGAATACTAAAACAAAAAATAGTAACTTCATTCAATGGAAATTTTATGAACGATGTCTTGCCAGCTTTCTTAATTATAGACTCAAAAGTTTTTAAACATTGTAAGTTTTCGGATCCATAATCCATATAAGATTTGGATGCCTAGACAGATTCTTACTTTATTTGCCATCTAGGCTGATTAGAATTGTAATGAACTTGAAAGATAATAAAACTGAACTTAAAACCCATAAGAGACTGTCACTCAACTCATTTCAAAAAAGTGTAATTGTGTAAAATTACACAAATATGCCTGCCTTCTAAAAATGTGTTTGCTGCTAATACTGCAAACAATTAGCTGCTCAAATTTATTAACCAAATTCTTCTTTGAGTTTTCTTCTTAACTGCACCAATGCTTATCAACTTCTCAATCTTAGTTGGATTGTTTGAAACCTGTAAAGGAGTTGCAAGGCCTTTCTACCCATCTGATCTATTGAAATTGGTAAAGCATAGGGTCCCAGAAAGCTGCTGACATAGCACACGATACAAGCAAACCTCTAGGTGAAAGTCCAATATTGTGCCACATGGGTTGCTAAAGATTCCAAACTAGTAAATTAATCGCACAAAGTCACTCCTAGATCCTGAAAAAATCTATATTCAAACCAGGTTGTTGATAGAACCAATATTATAAAAAAATGAGTCAACTCATACAATCATTTGAGTTTATGACCTAATAAGCAACAAATGATTCAAGTTGTTTTAAATCATTGTTGTTTGAGATTGGTGAAACATCAGGTGTTGACTTGGTGAAATCATTAAAACTGTGCTTCAAAGTTCAGGTTTTCCAATCTTAAATTCTGTTGTTCAAATATTGAAATTCTAAAAATTTTTCACAAGGTTTTGATTCTTGTGGCAATGAGGCAATGGGTTCTTGGGTATTTGAACTTTTATGTCATTGCTTCAAAGCTTTGAGATGAGAATGGTAAGCGTAGAGATGCTGAGGACTAAAATATGGAGAAAGCTAAGAATGGCCAGAAGTGAGAAGTAAAGAAGAAATAAAGCAATGTGCAGCAACAAAAAGTAATTGCTTGTAAAAGCTAAGCAATGGGTCAAATATAAAGAAAGAGTAGATGGTGGTAGTGGGACATAACAATTAATGTTTTCCATTTATTTTTTAGAATTAAGGTTTAAACAGAGCCACAATTAAAAAAAAGAAAAAAAAAAGTAATTGGAATTTGGAGGTTTGAAACAAAAAACCAAAAGAATTGGAGAAACTGTAAAATAATTAAAATAACACTGCCGACAGTCCAAATGCCCTTTTTTTTTTTTTTTTTTTTTTTCAACAGTCCAAATGCCCTTTTTTTTTTTTTTTTTTTTTTTTTCAAAATTGAGTTTCTTCTTCCCCCCTGTAGCACTTAATTTAATTCCTCTATTTTTCCTTAACATATCCCTTGAATCGCTGAATATGTAAAATGCATTTTAATTACAATTAAAACTTGAAATAGAAATGTAAACATAAAGTTTGGATAAACTTATATTTAGATTATACAAGAAATTTAATTGACTATATATGAACCTTACTATTTTTAAATGGATCACCTTTTTTTTTTTTTTTTTTTTTTTCAAATTTGAGTTTCTCTTCCCCCCCTGTAAGCAACTTATTTAATTCCTCTATTTTTCTTAAACATATCCCTTGATCGCTGATATGTAAATGCATTTTAATTTACAATTAAAACTTGATAGAAATGTTAAACATAAGTTTGATACTTATATTTAGAATTATACAAGAAATTTAATTGACTATATATGAAAACCTTACTATTTTATGATTCAATTTACTGGTCTCCATCGATTCTAGTTAAAAAAGCGATTTTGAGAACCTTGGATAAAACTATAATTACCCTTGCCTATCACATTGGAAGGGAATGTACTTGAAGGTTAATTAACTCTATTTTGTTTGGAGTTTTGGAAAGAGTAAGCATATTAACAGGTGGAGAGCATTTAAAAACTTCATATTAAACGCAAACTGGGTTAAAATAATGGGGTATTAATTATTAAGGGGCATCAATGTTTAACCTATATTATCCTATCCTTCCACTAAAGTGAACTATCCAACCAAATTAGGAGGCTAACCTCCATTCATGTTTGCCCTTTAATTCTCTCTAACCAATAATTACCTTATCAGACTATATGTTGTATTAAACCTCTCTCCAAACCTTTCTCAATAATAGTGAACAGAAAAAGGGGATTAGATCCTCCTGTCACAAAACTCCAAAAACCACAAACAAGATTTTGCTTCTCTATTGACTATTAATATAACAGAACAAAAAACAAGTCAGAATACAAACTAACTTTATTGTTTATACTTTAACAGGAGTTGGTAAACTGTTGATTAATAATTATCTACTTGGAAGCATCTTGGATTTAGTTTAAATAATGTATTTTTGAGTTGGCACAAAAACTCGTTGCGGAGGTGCATCCATGTTTGTTGCTGTTCTCTATGTCCTTGTTCTTTCACTCTGTTGGTACATCTTAAGAGAAATGTGAGTAAAGCTTTATGTATTCTCATTTATACTGTGTATGTCCTTTATTTCCTTATATGCAGGCACAAAATGATCAGTTAAAGCTCATGGGTCCTGTGATATTGAATGGGATTCTGAAGTTACTTGATAGTTTTTCCAATTCAGAATCAGGTTTTGTGTGAATAAAGTTCTTTTGATATCCTCTACTTTGCTCCAAGATATTACATTATATAGGATTATAAAAGATTCATTCTGATTGATCCAGTTTCATCTGTTCATTCAATGCAATTGATCTAGTTTACTTCCAGATGTTATTGCTAGGGATACCAAAACCTTTTGTTTTCAAGCAATTGGGTTGCTTGCACAGCGCCTGCCCCATCTCTTTAGGTGTTCATCTATCCCTCTTCTTTGTGGCTGTGTCCCAGTTTATCTGATAAAAATAATCTGACGGTTATTGTTCCTTATCTTAGGGAGAAGATTAACATGGCTGTTCGTCTCTTTGATGCATTGAAAGTGGAAGCCCAGTCAATCCGTTTTATTATCCAAGAAGCAACCAATTCTCTTGCTGCTGCATATAAGGTTTGCACTTAACTTGGTAAAAACTAGCTTGTGTTGTTTTCTTTCTCTCATTTGAAGGCTTAATCTTGAAAATTATTTGTTGGCATTTCTTTGGCGTAGCTAGATCTAGCAAGTTGTTCTTTGTCTTTTCCTAATTTCTGCAATATGTGGGTATATTTACTTATTTCTTCTAGCCTTACCACATAAAAGTCTGTATACTTCTATAGGTGCCACTTTTCTATGTGCTGATTTAGTTTATTTTCTTGTATATTGGAACAATAATGACTATGATGAAGATAATGTACGGTGGCTGGTATGCCAATAAAATTTTGACGACTCATTTATCAGTCTTTTGTTTTTGTTTGTGTTTCAGTAATATCTATGTTTTTCTGCCTTTCGTAATGAATAAGCTCATAAAATCTGGAATTGCATCAACCGTCAGTGCTACCAGAACTTTTACTCACAACTCTACTTCTGCTGCTAGGAATAGAAACATCCCCATCTACCAATCTTCACTACTGCTACCAACATTATGGTTCTAGTTATCAGAAGTACATCAATTTAATGTAATTTTAAAAAAAGCTATGACTTACAGTTTTTGTTTTCTCTATGTTATGCTTTGTTTATTTCTTGATATTATTGAATAGAATGGAAATGGTAACAAAAGATTCATATAGCCGACCCCAACTAGTTTGGGATTAAGGCTTAGTTGTTGTTGTTGTTGAGTGCATATATCTTTCAATTCAAATTTGCAAATGAATTTCCTTATTCAAACATTAGATGAAACTGAGCTTGTGAATCAATAGCTTACAAATTGTTGTATCCATTATATGTTGTTTTTTATAGTTTCTCAAACAAAAATAGCATTGGTGGAAACAAAACCATTTGCTGTCAGTAATTAAATCTGTCTGGATCTTTCAATAGAATTCTTTTCTAAATGGCTACTATTTCTTTTCTTCCCAAGTACATCATGTCCGTGAAGGCTTTTATTGGAATCAACAGTCATTTCTGTGCATCAACTGGGTCTAGCAACTTAGAAGAAGAGTCTTAAGTAAAATATTTGATTTATTGGGAATGTTGTTGCAATATCTGGTTAATTACAGTATTTTGGTAGTTGTAGCATTTTATATGCATCCCCCTTTTTTTCTCAACAAAGTAGAAATACCATGTGGTTTGGCAGCTCTTTTTTTGAAGAACATTTACTCCCTTTTCACCCTCTATTAACGTGTTTCTGATATGAACATTGTATTTATTTACGTCTATTGACATGACCAATATTAGAGTATATGAACAAATACGCATACCAGATCAGTTATATTCATTTGGAAGCTAATAAGGGGGATAAGAAGGGCGGTGAGTGTGGGAAATTTGTGTTTTTGTGCTGTTTATTTTTGTTTATTTACTAGGATGTTTGGGACCCACACCCAATTTATATAAATTATGCACAATATAAAAAACATGTGTATCATGAAGTACAAATGATTTCCTGTTGATGCTTAGTAAAAAATTGTAGAAGGGGAAAAAAAAATGGTTTAAAATTTATTTGCTAGGTGTTAATTCTGTATAACTGTAGTTGCTTTTAGATGGATCTTGTGTTTAGCAACATATGGTACATATACCTATTCTATTTATGACCTATGCAAACATTTAAATATTAAGGGGGCATTTCTGGAAAAAAATGTTTGGAAGCATTTTCTACATGGATTACTTATATTGGTAGGGTAGATCCGATCAAAAAAAATATTGGTGGAGTAGATACATATTTGAATAAGGAACTATAGAATTTTCAGATGGCTCCATCAAAGCAGAGTAGCTGACGTTTAAAACTTGGTGAATATACTGTTTCTTGATCATCATACTCATATTTATTACCTCTTATGGATTGTATTGTTCAATCTGAGAAGGCCCACTGTTTTTGTCATCATTAATGACTTGCATATTTCCACTACTTTAAAGTTTGACATACATTTGTTCTTTGCTCATTGCAACTTGCAATTTGATACTCTCAACGCATAATGTGCTTGTGCTTTGATTTTTTCCCACCAATATACTTCTCTTTAAAATATCCTGAATTATTACCTAAATGATTTCATTAATTGGTATTTTATTGTTTGAGCATCAGGGAGCCCCAGCTACTGTATTGATAGATTTGGAGACACTTCTGTTGAATAATTCTCAAGTGGTATGGAGTAATTTATGAGGAACTTCTTGTTATATGGTGCAGAAATATATTTTCTCCCACTTATTGCGGTTTAATCCATTAATCACTGCTTCATGATTGAAACTTAAATTTTTTTAGTGCAACTCAGGAACAAAATGAAGCACGCTTCTGCGCTGTGAGATGGGCGACATCTATATTTGATTTGCAGCATTGCCCAAGTCGATTTATTTGTATGCTTGCAGCTGCAGATTCTAGATTGGATATAAGGTGCTGAATTTTTCATTTACTGTATATTCTTTCAACAATCATTTGTTTCTCTATGCTGAGGCTTCTGCTTTCTTCACTGTGTTGTTCATACTCGTGATAGCTTTTTCAGATGTTTCGATTTGAGTTTTTGTTGGTTCACATCAATATTTAACTTGGATTATTTGAAAGTAAAATTTTGAATAAAAAGAGACCTGAGTTTTTTTATTCTAGGACTTATCGATACAGTGAGTCGAGGTTCTTAAAATTATTGATGAACTAGGATTCTTCCGAGTATTTGTCAGTTCCTTATCAACGTAAGATTAGCATAGGGTCCTGCAAGATTGTTTTATCAATCATCTTTTCTTTGCCATTGGTACACTTATCTTCACTGACAGCCTGTTGACAGTTAGCCTCATATTGTGCAACTAGCTTTTTTATCAACAATCTGTCATTTGCATCAAAAATTACTTTTGAAGTCCCTATTAGTCAATATGACCCACCCACTTCTGTAATATACAAAACCGTAGCTGTCTTAATCTTTTGGAAGTATCATAATCTCCAAGTGTTGATTGCCTGAAGCTGTTCTTAAAGTTGGGAAGTTCTCTGATACCTTAATATCTTTTAGTTAATGCAGCATACTTCTAACACCTGTTAACAGCACCCCCTTTTAATCAATGGTGCGTATCCGGTTGGTCTGGTTCGTACTGAACCAAACCAATGCAAAGTAAATATATATATATGTTAACCAAACCAAACCAAACCAAATGCGCACAGAACCAGTTCAGTTTGGTTTGGTTTAACTATTTTTGGGCGGATTTGGGATTATTTTTTGGGTTTAATAAAGATCGAATGGAACCAAACTGAAAATTTTGGTTTTTCTATATTAAAACTAAAATAGAACCGATATTTTAAAAGACCATACACAACCAGTTTGGTTTGGTAGTTCGGTTTTTCTGAACCACTCAGCAGTCTGCCCTACTTTTAGTTCGACCTAGCCATTGGTGATTTCAAATGTTCAGCAGCAATTATGTATTTTTCATTCTATTTCTTACTAATGAATGTATCTTTTAACCAATTGAATGAAATGGTTTTCAGCCAGGTTACTGTTCACCCTTCATTTGTACCACCTTCCTTTGAAAAGGTTTTTCTTTGATTTGCTTCAACATATGCCCAATGTAGTTTCTGGTCTCAAGTTTGTACTTTCATGCACTTAAAAGATATTCCCCATGCTTATACCTATTCACAATAAAAAAAATTATGATAAAGAAATCTATATGAGGGAAAGAAGATCAACCAATCTCACCAGGTACACATTTTGGGAAAATGAAAAAATATCTTTGGCCACACTTTTTGAGTAGACCGTTTCATCATGGGGCTTTGGACATCTTGATGGCCAAAACCTACCAACCAAAATACGACTAAATAACTTTGGACATGCAAAATATGGTATTTTGGTATTTTTCTCCTTTCTCACATAACACAAGCGCTGACCACTATATGTGATTGTTCCATATCTTATGATTCAGTGTTCAAAAACTGTGTCATGACTCATTGTCTAGCCTTGAGCCTATAGACTGTTTTTCACTTGCCTTCTTACAAGTTAGTTTGATGCATTTGATTCTCTACCTGCTCCTCCTTGCCATCGCAGCTCAATCATGTGTGTTTTATTTTATGCTAATGCAAATATGGTCCTTTTTTCTTTTGCAGTCTAATGCTCTTAATTGAAAAATATGATCTATTCAAATTATGTCATTGAAAGTTTAATTAGACCCATATTGAGTTTCTTAGTTATCATGGTCCTTTTTTCATTTTTCATAAAACCCAGGGGTACTGTTCCTATAGTAGTATTCCTGTTTGAAGTTGAAGAGGGAATGGAATCAAGGTCCCCAGAAACATTTTGATCTCCCACTTATGAGGAGGGATGAAAAGAGAGAGAATGGAGCCCAAGGGGAACGTAGTTTCTTGGGTCTATTGTCTGTATTGTTACTGAATTAAGGTTTCCCACCTCTTGTCCTAGTATCATTGTTACAGAAACTTTATTGTAGAGTGTTAAAAGAGAAAGGAGCTGCAGTTTCTTAGCAGTATTCTGTATCGTTACTGAATTAAGGTTTCCCATCTCTTCGTCCTAGTATCATGGTCGCAGAAACTTTGTTGTAGAGTGTTTTCATGTGGCTTTGATCTTATTTTCTTCTTCTTCTTCTTCTTCTTCTCTCTCTCTCTTTCTAAAGGGAAATGGCACTTGAAGGCTTATTTCCTGTCAGAGATAAAGGCCAAAGTACTAGTCAAAATCTTGATGATAAGTACCCAAAGCTTGGAGGCATGTTGGATTATATTATTAAACAGCAGCCAAATTTGTTAGCTTCAAGTGAAATAAGGGAGCAAAAACTTACTTTTCCATCAACAGTGTATGTCGCCATGATTAAATTTTTGTTAAAGTGTTTTGAGTCAGAGTTAGAGCAAAGCAACTCTTTAGAGAGATCAGCTGAATTTCTCTCGTCGGTGGAAAGCATGTGCTTACTTTTAGAACATGCTATGGCATATGAAGGATCCATTGAGTTACATTCCACTGCTTCCAAGGCAATAATTACCATCGCAACTTATCTTCCAGAGGTTGGTAACTGCAATTTTCTTCATGCTTCAGGCTGCTTTTGTATTTGTATATTGATATAAAATTTATTCACTTATGTTTTGTTCTACTTTTTCTGGGTTTTCTACTTCTGTAGATGATAGCATCACATTTTGGATCTAGAATTTCATGGCTGAAGCAATTACTGAGCCACGTAGACTTAGAGACCCGTGAATCTTCAGCACGCCTACTTGGCATAGCTTGTTCTTCTCTTCCTAGTCCTGCATCATCTGATCTTATATGCGAACTACTTTCCTCAATTGGTGGAACTAAAAATTTAAGGTTTGTACTCCACCATATTACATGTCCTGTTACATTATATTTGGCAATAGTGATACACTTTCTGATTCTGGAGTGAAATAAATTTGTTTTTCAGGTTTGAGGCACAACATGGTGCGTTGTGTGCTGTAGGATATGTGACTGCAGATTGTATGTCTAGAACACCTACTGTAAGTTGTGTATTTCTGTAATTATTTCTGTGAATTTGGCCTTTTTCCTACACATTAGTGTAGCTTTGATTTAATGAAACTCTCACTTATTCCTTTATCACTTATCCAAAGCCCGAGGGCCAGATACTTTTCTCCATCTTATACTTCTGTGAATATGATATTTCAGCTAGTATTTAGAAAATATTTGAAAAGTTTGCTTTGGATGGATTTCAACGCATGTTTTGCGAGGTGATATGTGTTTGGATGAAAAGAAGTTATTTCAAAATTGGATGTGTCTTATCCGTCATTGATTAATACAGACATTTGATTCAATATATTTTGTTGTGGAATAAACTATAACATCCAAAGAGAAAAAATAAAATATGAATCGGGGGAGGATGAGGAAGAAGAAAAAGAAGAAGAAGAAAAGAGGAGGTGGGGGAGAGAGAGAGAGAGAGAGAGAGAGTTGTGCCTGAGTGGGGCTGGCAGCTGAGATTCATTTTATTTATTTATTTAATATTTATGACCCTATTGCAATTTTTCCTTCATGCAAAGGCATTGCTCAAGTAACTTCTTTTTTAGGTTCAATTTGGTTTGTGGCTACCAGTCCATTCATGGAAAAAGGAGTTGCAAGGTGGTTATGCAGAAGCATGATTTTTTTGCACTATCTTTTTGTAAAAAGAATTATAATGACATCTTTGTTAAACTGCTGCCACGTGTATTGCACATTATTCACTAGAAGAGTCTTTGAATGAAAATTGGTACTTCCACCTTAATTTAGAAGGTAACAAAAAGTCCAAAAAGTGAACAACATCAAGGGCTTGTTTTTCACATTGCTCATTGATGTGCTGTTGAGGGAAACATGTTGAAAATGTTGACCAAGTCCAAAAAGCAAACAACATTGAGGGCTTGTTTTTCATATTGCTGATTGATGTGCTGTTGAGAGAAACATGTTGAAAATAGTGACTACAGACCATTAAAGTATTTTTTAGGGTGAATAGGCATGTCTAGTTATAAAAGCTACAAGACAGCTGAACATCACTTCCGAACTGCTTTTTCTAACATCTAAACTGGTGCTTCTTTATTGGAAAGCAGTTTCAGTCTCAATACCAAACAGACAAATGATTTTGACCCATTTGCCTCCATTTTGCCAAAGTGACTCACATTGTAAACAGCCTGGAAGGATGCTCAATCCTCTAAAGATCTTGCCAAATAACTACAACTGTAATCGATTTTTTAAATAAAGGTTCTACAATCAATACTCTGGAGAATTGGCTGGCTCTGATTTTTTAGAAATAGTATGTAGTAGTTCTTGATGAAGTCTTCCAATCAAGCTGAATAACACATAAAGGACTCCTCTAAAAACCCCTTGAACCAAGCCCCATTGAGAAGCCAACAAAAGAACTCATGCCTCTGTTGCTAGAAGGGATTGTTGCCTATATCGAAAAGTCACCTTTAGTGGTGCAATCCATATTGTGATTAGTAGATAATTATATCGTTAAGTCTAGAAGAGAGTGGGATGCCAAAATTTTCTTGTATTGTGTTAGTTAACTTGGATTTGTTTAAGTTCAATTGAATTGAAAGGTTTGCATATGAGGCTTTGAGTTTTTATTGATATATTGTTGATTGATAGTAATAGAGGATTGTCTGTCTGTGGCTCTAGACATAGTGAGAGACTGGGGATGAACCTTGGAAATAGTTTGCTGTTGTTTGTAGCATTGACAAATGCCAAGAACAGTTACTAAAATGCTGAGCTGTTGAAAACAATTAAAGTGCTCTAGAAACAATGAGATTCTACAAAAAGTGGTCCTCTGGCCTTCTGGTGGTCTGATTTCAAATTGGAACCAGACCAGAACCAGCTGAAACTGCCGGTTTCGAACCAGTTGCCCCCCCCCCCTTGGGAAATAGTGTTGCTGTTGTTTGTAGCATTGACAAATGCCCAAGAAACAGTTACTAATAATGCTGAAGCTTGTTTGAAAAACAATTAAGTGCTTCTAGAAAACAAATGAGTCTACAAAAAGTGGTCCTCTGGCCTTCTTGGTGGTCTGATTTCAAATTGGAAACCAGACCAGAACCAGCCTGAAACTGCCCGTTTCGAACCAGTGCCCCCCCCCCTTTCTCTCTCTTCTCTCCTCTCATGAAGCCATTTGCTGGAACTGACTGAAAATCTGCTTGGAAAATCGAACCTAGGACCCACCCCCCCCCCCTTTTCTCTCTCTCTCTCTCTCTCAATGAAGCCATTGCTGGAACTGACTGAAAATCTGCTGGAATCAGAACCAGGACCAGAACAGGGACTGGCTCAGTTCTGGTGCCTAGGTTCCATGAACTGTTGCACCTATCCTATGTTGCAATATGTTAGGTTCGAGGACTGAGTCATCTCAGGAAATTCCTGTTTATTTCAATTTTAGATATCTTCTTGTATATGAAACACGTACTTGGACTTGAGTCGTGCTGTTTTTGTAGTCAATATCTTTTGTTTTGATATGGGGATGCAATAACCAAATGTGGTATCATGGTTAGTTCTGTAGGATCATGCCATTGTTCTTTTTCATCATCATTTAATTTGTGTTTATAATATTTATTTTTAAATTCTTATCTTCAATTGTTTTGAATATGTATTTATTGCAGATTCCAGAGCAATTGTTTCAGAATATACTCAAATGCCTGACTGACATAGTAAAATCTGAGACTGCAATTTTGGCTTCTGTTGCAATGGAAGCTTTAGGTCATATTGGGTTATGTGCACCATTACCTCCACTTGCTGAGAATTCTGGTTCAGGTGAAGTTTCTACATTCTTGGATTAGTTATTGAAGGGCATTTGCAGTAAGTTTCAATCAATGAAAGTCCTCCCATTTGTTAAATCTGCAGTTGAGATTTTGTCGCTCTTACTCGAAAAGTTGAGCAAACTACTCTCTGGTGATGATATAAAAGCGATTCAGAAAATTGTTATATCCCTTGGACATATCTGCGTTAAAGAAACATCAGCTTCAAACCTCAATATTGCTCTTGATTTGATATTTAGTCTCTGCCGGTCAAAGGTATGGAAACTAATCTTGTTTTTGAGTCTGCTAGTTTTACTTATAATACATAACACTTAAAATGAACACTCATGCTATATTTTGTAAGCAGTACTGCAATCTGATGGTGACTATATTGCACAAATTTCTTTGTAATGTTACACAGAAATTCATTTAATGTATCAACAATACATTGTTGCATTGTGGCTTACCAAACGTAGCCTTAAGGTTTTTTATCTTGTTTTATGAGGTATATAAAGTTAGGAAAACATCTGATCCCTGTAGTCTTGGAGTTGTACAGGTTGAGGATATTCTTTTTGCTGCTGGGGAGGCTCTTTCGTTTTTGTGGGGTGGTGTTCCTGTTACAGCTGACTTGATTCTTAAAACTAACTATTCTTCACTTTCCATGACATCAAACTTTCTTTTGGGAGATGTAAACTTATCAATGTCAAAATATAGCTATAATGGGAAAAGCGAACATAATGAAGACTATCATAACACAGTTAGAGATTCAATTACAAGAAAACTTTTCGACGTTCTCCTATACAGTAGCAGAAAGGAAGAGCGCTGTGCTGGAACTGTTTGGTTATTATCACTAACAATGTATTGCGGCCGTCACCCAACCATTCAACAAATGCTTCCGGAAATTCAGGTTTGTCATCTATATGTCAAGTAGAATGTTTGTTATTTTTATTTTTCTTCTGATGTTATTTATGAACTGAATTACTCATTTAATTGAGATCAACATTGGCCAATATTCCATTAGTACTGAAAATGACCAGAGAATGGGTAATAATCAAGTCCAAACGTGCACCAATGCCCTTCCAAATACTGGATTCTTAAAGAAAGAATGAATCTCCATTAAGTGAATGAGTGGTTATGGAACAAAGTTCTTATGTGGTCCATGGTAATAAAGGAAAAGAAAGTGATCTGTTGCATAACCAAGCTAAAAGGCATATGGCAATGTACTAAAAATTGATATGCTCATATAAACAATAGGATAAATTGAAAAGAGGAACCTGCGGGAGAATGAATAAAAATTCATTTCCGCTGATATGAGCATAACAAATACAAGCAGGAGGAAAAGACAACAATAGATGTCATAAATGATGCAGGAAAGGATGATCATAAAAGGAAATTGTTTTTTACTGAGGTAGAGAGACTTGGCAATAAAAGAAATATAGAGCGAATAAGGCAGACTTTAATAAAGAACATTTTCTTTTGGTGTTTAATTGACGATGGGAATTTGGAAGTGGGATAGGTTGTTACTGAATGTGGGAAGTGTGCAAATTGTTCAGGCAAAAGAGAACTTATGTATATCTTTTGAATTTTGTCACAAATTACAGATAAAAAGGCATTTTAATTTAAAATCTTAAAATCTTGAGTCATACAGATAATAAAATAATATATATTCTTGAGTCATACAGATATAAAATAATATATATATATATATTATATATATATATATATATATATATAAAATAAAAACATATAGATAACTGATTTCATCTTTTTATATAAAATAAAACTATAGATACTGATTTCATCTTTTTCATGGGAATGAGCATGACTCCTTTACATAACTTTTTACTTTTTCTCGCATCAAGTGGAATGTGATCCACTGGCAATTTATAGTGATGTACGGATGTTTTTCTGTATAATTTTGTTGTTATTACCTGAATATTTCACCTGCTGCTCTCATGTATTCTGATTTATCACTGCCGGGTATCTTTTCAAAATTTTCCAAATGAATGCAGGAGGCATTTTCACATCTACTAGGTGAACAGAATGAACTCACACAAGAGCTGGCTTCCCAAGGCATGAGTATAGTCTATGAACTTGGCGATGCATCAATGAAGAAAAACTTAGTAGATGCACTTGTTACCACTTTGACTGGTTCAGGGAAAAGGAAAAGAGCTATCAAGGTAAAAGCATATGATGTTAGATCATCTACGTTGGTGCTTTCACGTGTGTGAATTAGAGAGAGAGAGAATGAATTGCTTTTTATATACAGCTTGTTGAAGACTCTGAAGTGTTTCAAGAAGGGGCCATTGGTGAAAGTCTCAGTGGAGGGAAACTTACCACTTATAAGGAGCTTTGCAATCTTGCTAATGAGATGGGTCAACCAGACTTAATTTATAAGTTCATGGACCTGGCTAATCACCAAGGATCTCTGAATTCTAAGAGAGGTGCTGCTTTTGGGTTTTCAAAGATAGCCAAGCAAGCTGGGGATGCTCTCCAACCGCACTTAAAATTGTTGATTCCTCGACTAGTTAGGTACCAATATGATCCAGATAAAAATGTACAGGTAAGCATTGTTGATTCTCTGTGCCAAGATGTACTAAAAAGTTCTATATGTTAGAGTTTGATGTAAATTATTCTGTTCTATGGTGTTTACATTAACCTTTTTCTTAATATTCTTACTTCTACAAGTTTCCAATTGTGTTGTCAAGTATCAGAAACTATGAAATGCAACTTTTACCATTTATTTAGCAGATATTGTATTGCCGTCTTCTTATTACTTAGTTGTTTGTATAATTATTACAGGATTCAATGGCACACATATGGAAGTCGCTAGTGGCAGACCCTAAGAAAACCATTGATCAACACTTGGACTTTATTATTGATGATCTAATTGTACAATGTGGATCTAGACTTTGGCGATCACGTGAAGCTTCCTGTCTTGCCCTTGCAGATATTATCCAAGGACGAAAATTTGAACAGGTGATGAGCTTCTTTTTCTGTTTTGTCTTGGCCAGTAATTCTGATATTTCCATTTGAGGAATTTCTTTCTCATCATTTTTTTCTTTTCTCCAAAACTTTGCTGCAAAACTTTTCTATAATCCATTACAATGGGGCTTTGAACAGTTTGACCTTTTTCCTTCAATTATTTAATTGATTCGCCAAAAAGAGTTAATACCAATGCCAGACAAATGCTATAGACCATGCTAAGATGGAAGAAATTTAAGTCACGGGTCCCTGTGTAAACTGCAATGGTATACTCAAATCGCAAACTGCTATGAGTAGTGTATTCAACCGAAAAAAAAAAGATTCTTTGAGCCCTGAAACAAATCTGATTACCAGTTAAATTGTAATCCTTTTTGGAAATTGAGTGGATTCAGGGCGACCGGGATCCATGGGAGGTTAAAACTAATTAACTCATTGGTTAATCACGAATCAGCCTACCTGTCTGGGAAAGAGAAATGATTTGTTTTTTAATCTTTTTTATGGCTCAATAAGAATAGAAATCATATTCAAACACCTGAAGGGATGGGTTCCTTGTCAGCAAGGCAATGGTAACCTCATAAATTTGGTAGATTATTAGGATACCCTTGATATTTGGTAAAATATACACTTGAACACTTGCTTTTCCATAAATGAACTTATTTGGAAGCCCTTGTCCCAATGAATATTTTACAAAGAGCCGACAAGGAATTCCATTAATAACTGGCCGTTTTAATTGTTTAAACAACACTTTAATCCCTTATTTTCATATGAAACAATTTTCAATCCCTAAAAATTAGAAGGTGAGGGGCTAATAATTATTTTACTTAAAAGATGGACTTAAATGTACCGGAAGGAGTAAAGCATATGTTTTTTCAGAAGTGAAGAATTATTTAATTCCATCTTAGAGAAGCAACAATGCAAGTGCAAATTTAACTGACTGTCAGGGGGCTTTTGTAATTTACTTGCCATATATCTTCAATGTTCCCATTTCTTAATGTGATAGTAATATTTTTTATGCCTGGTTGGTGTCATCCGGTTGAGTTCAGTTGACCTGCATCCAGCCCCTGAAAATATTTGCCTTCTTCCTCCTATGTTCAGTGAAAAGTGCTTCGCACAAGTCTGAATCACGGATGATAGTCATTAGTCAGTTGAGACATCTTTTTCTTTTCATAGTGCAGATAATGATTTGAGTTTTCTGCTTTTCATAGCAAAATAGTGTCAGAATCCATTATATTGAACTTAACAATTTTATTCTTTTTGCGCAGGTTGGGAAGCATTTGAAGAAAATATGGACAGTATCATTCCGTGCCATGGATGACATAAAGGAAACTGTTCGAAATGCCGGTGAAAAGTTATGCCGTGCTGTATCTTCATTAACGATAAGGTTGTGTGATGTCTCACTTACTGAAATATCAGATGCCAGCAAAGCAATGGAGATTGTTCTGCCTTTGTTGCTTGCAGAAGGTATATTAAGTAAAGTTGACAGTATTCGAAAGGCTTCAATTGGAGTTGTTATGAAGCTTGCCAAGGTTTGATATGTTTTGCAACAATATTGCTCTGAGCTTGACTTGAAATAATTTTATTTCTGTTTACTATGGACATAGATCTGAGTTGCACCATGAAGCGCTGTTGCTGCTTATATAATCATAATCAAGTGGTCTAATGGTGAGAACTCACTAATTTCATGTTGGACAAGCAGCAGTTTTCAAAGAGTGCCACCAGTATATTCTGAACAAGGATGTCAAATTGTGATGAACTCAAGGATAAAAGTTCTGGAGCACGATGAATCCAATTTGTTTATATATTCCAGAAAAATTTGTTTTGACTATGAATCCCTTAAATTAAGACATACTATCACAATACTATCACAACTTTTGAACTCTAGATCTACAGATCTTCATGGATTTGGAAACCAAATGATTTATTAAGGGTAAACTATTTCTGGCAGAACCTTCCAAGTGGAGAAAAACCATGTTCAGAAAATTAATGATAGATGAAAACAAAAAGTTTAAATAGTTTTCTTTTTCGTTTAGGATCTGTATTTTGGTTTTTAACTGAACTTTACAGACTAATTTTTTAATTGTTAATGACTTAAATTGTTTTATGGATATAATAACAGTTTTTGGTTGTATTAACAGGGTGCGGGGGTTGCACTGCGTCCTCATTTGCCTGATCTGGTTTGCTGCATGCTTGAAAGTTTATCAAGTCTTGAAGACCAAGGGCTCAATTATGTTGAGGTTTGAGCCTTTATAGAATCTTCAAAATATTCTAACCTTATCCTGTTTATACAACTATCTGTTTATCTTTTCTCTTCTAGTTGCATGCAGCAAATGTTGGAATAGAGACAGAGAAGCTTGAGAATTTGCGAATTTCAATTGCAAAAGGCTCTCCAATGTGGGAAACTCTGGACCTATGCATAAATGTCGTGAACATTGAATCACTTGATCTCTTGGTTCCTCGGCTTGCTCAATTGATTCGATCAGGGGTTGGCCTCAACACGAGGTGAGTAATTATTTCGAATTGATAGTTATTTCACTGCATTAAGTTAATGTTTCAGTATTTTTAACTTTTTTGAAAGGCAGTTTAGCTTTACCTGTGTCTTCCTCAGTTCAGAGGATTGAAGGGGAAAAAGAAAATCAAATCTGTTTGTGTTTTTAGATCAGTATCCTTGGAAGTGCTAATTTAACTAATGTAGCTAAATTTACAGTTTTTCTTCATTTGATTTCTGGAAGTGGAAAGACTAAGAAAGTATGGCAAGGTTCCTTCTATGTCAGTGATTCAGAATGTATTGGCCGTCTCATTGTGATTTTTTTTAGGCAATACAAGATTGAATGAATGTTATGATTTCAAAATCACAATTATTTGTACCAAACTACTCGACACAAAGGCTGTATTTTTTTCTCTTTAAAAGAAAAAAGAAAGAGAATAAAAGAGCCTCAACAACTAGCCTCAAACCACTCAGGGTTTGAAGAAGGGTTGATAAGGTTCACGCCTCCATTTATGAGAGATCGTTAATCAGCCTGTCGGTCATCTATACAAAAGCATGATTCGTTTATTAGTAATTTAAATTATATTTTTTTAGTGTTTGATTATAATGTAAGATTGATAATTAAATTTAGACATTGTCATTCTGATACTAAAAAATGTAAAAGAATGAACAGCAGGAAACTTTTTTTTAAATCTCTAATCTGTCAATTTCATACTTATGTTAGTTACTAAGGTTAAAATTGAGAATGTGTTAACAGTAGCTCAACCCCATTTTGCCCTATCCTATCCCACCAATTTAAAGAATTACGGTCCTTATGTAAGAGTTTATAATGAAGCCAATGGCTACTAATGCAATTCATTACCTTGATACTTGTGATGCAGGGTTGGTGTTGCTAACTTCATTAGCTTATTGGTTCAGAAAGTTGGTGCAGATATCAAAACATTTGCAAATATGTTATTAAGACTGTTATTTCAAGTTGTTAGGGAAGAGAGGAGTGCTGTCGCAAAACGTGCTTTTGCAAGTTCTTGTGCCATGGTTTTGAAGCATGCAGGTCCCTCTCAGGCTGAAAAGCTGATTGAGGATACTACAGCTTTACATACCGGAGAAGGGAACTCACAAATTTCATGTGCGATTCTTTTGAAAAACTATTTCTCAATTGCATCTGATGTTGTGAGCGGATATCATGTGGCAATTTTTCCAGTTATATTTATTTCAAGGTTTGCATAACATATTTCTTTACTGGTTGACTTTCAATATTAGTTGTTCACACTTCCAATATTAGTTATTCACTCTACCTTCCTCAAATATCTGATATTTCATGTAACTATATTTTGTACATGACTTGATTATAAGTAATATTTCATTTGCCTAAAGTACAAGCCGATCTGCACTTTTGTCCTTTTTTTTTTTTTTTTTTTTTTCCACTCTACCTTCCTTCAAATATCTGATTATTTCATGTAACTAATTTTTGTTACATGACTTGATTTTAAGTTAATATTTCATTTTGCCTAAAAGTACAAGCCGATCTGCACTTTTGCTTCCTTTTTTTTTTTTTTTTTTTTTTTTTTTTTTTTTTTTTTTTCCCCTTCCATATGGAAACATAAATAAGTTCAATGAGCAAAATGAAATTTTAACTGTCTTCCATCTCCCTTGTAAATTCTCTTTTACCCTTGCTTCTCTGCGAGAGATAAAAGGCGATTTTGATTTTAATTTTCCTATAATTTTTTGTACTATGTTGATTCTCTGAATTCTCAGAAGTGGAAGAGTAAGACCTCATGGAATCATTTTATATCATTGAAATCTTAACTTTAGAACTTCTTCAGAATGGTTCTCTTTGTTTCTTGTTGTTGCCCTGAATTGACATTACATTATCAGGGTGCTTCTGTTTCAGAAAGGTCTCTTTTCTGATCCATCTATAAGAAATAGTTGAGGCTTAACTATATTAGTTAGTTATACATGAAATGTTTTTGCCCTTTGTAATTTAACATGTTTAACTCTTGTTCAGATTTGATCATGAGAAGTATGTTTCTGGTCTGTTTGAGGAGCTGTGGGAAGACAACACAAGTGGTGAAAGAGTCACAGTTCAATTATATTTGGGAGAAATTGTTTCTCTTATTTGTGAAGGGCTGGCATCATCTTCTTGGGCGAGAAAAAGAAAGGTAAATTTTGTTTTTACTTGTTTCCTTGGTCATCTGTTCTTATTCCGTAATTTTTTTTTAATTCCATTCCACAACAGTTAATATATTCAAATTTCTACCATTTTATATGCTACTCATATTTATGAGTTGTATGTTTGTTACTGGCTTGGATGTGCAGTCAGCGCAGGCAATTTGTAAGCTTAGTGAAGTTTTGGGTGAATCATTGTCTTCTTGTTATAGCGTTCTGCTTGAAGCTCTTATGAAGGAAATTCCTGGTCGACTATGGGAGGTAAGAGTATTCATTCCTGAATTTGAATATGAGAAATGCAAATTTCATTCTCAAAAGTTCTAATCCACAGAATAAATTATATTTCTTGAATTTATAATTATGACCTATACATAAAAAATGACCAAGTTCAGCTCATACTTCAGTTCTGCGATCATGCAATTTTGATTAGGTCACAAAAACTCATTAAATCAGCCTCTGTGTGGGCATTATAGAAGGATATTTAACAAAATGGTTGATCCATGTGTAGTAAACCATCAAACCTATTGCTATGTGTGATTAATTTATCCTTTTCTTAGTAAAATTTACATGTCACCGCATGTGTTTAGATGCTCTGGCCATAATTAAGTAAAGTGTAGGCTCAATTTGAAAATTACGAAGTGGTTTTTACTGATTTTTGTATCAGATTTTGTCCAGTTCTTGTTCTAAATATTTGAAGTAGTGGCTCATGATATTCCATCTATATCTATGCTTTTGATTATGGGATAATAAATGACAATTTATGCAGTTTTTCCATACTCTAGGTTCAGATTTTGGTTTGCTAATTAATTTCAATGTAACAGGGAAAGGATGCTCTGTTAGATGCAATAGGTGCAGTTTCTACATCTTGCCATAAAGCTATTGCCTCTGAAAATCCTGCCACTCCCAAGGCAATTTTGGATTTGGTATTTTCTGCATGCATGAAAAAGGTGAAGAAATACCGTGAAGCAGGTTTCTGTTCTCTTGACCAGGTAGCCATACAATGATGGTTCTGCAAAACATTCATTCTAATATTTATTCTATTTCCTCTGCAGTGAGTAATATTGATTTTTATTGAGCAGGCACACATTAGAAAAATGAAAAGTTAGAACTTTGATGGAAGTGTCTAAAAACAAAATATAAAAAAGCCTACTTCAAAGTGACTCTATATCAGGGCATGTGATAAGAGTTGAGATTGATTCTTTCATTTTTGTTGATTTTAATAAATGGTGATCAGCATACAATATTTGCACTTAATATACTCATCTGAGGATAATGCCCATAGTAAGCCGCAGCTTCAACAGGTTATTGGCTGTTATCCTATTTCTGACTTCTGATCGTATGGAAGCCTTGATGTTAGATGGGAGAATATGACCCTGTAAATACCAAAAGCTCATCTCTAAAGTTAGATCTGAGATGGGCTACATAACTGAACCACACTTGGCCCAACCACGAATAAAAGAAAGGTTTTCTTCTTCCTAACGGCATATGAAGCATCCCCAATAATGAGAATCCCCTTTTCTTTTCTGGCTTCACTCTGTAACACCTTATATTAGGAATGATGGGATTTGACTGTTGTTGGACTTTTGATTTCATTGCCTAATCTGGAAGGCTTTGTTTTATATAAGCTCCTGGGTCACAGTTAACATTATAGGAGTTCAGAGAGATTCTAGTTTGATGCCATTATTTATGGATGGTTAAAGAAAAGTTTAGATTTTGACTTTTCAAATATAGGGGGATAAAGGAACCGCTATAATGCAATTCTCATCTAAATCCTATCAAAGTCTTCAATCTTGAAAGCAACCCCAATAATCTTCTCTTTTCATGTCTCTCTCATGCACATTCATAGATACATACAATAAACATAGAAGTAGAGATGATGATGTTTCTCATTAGAAGATTGGATAACACGGTCCCAGCATCCAATTAATGGATGAATTAGATTTTGGGTGTGGCACATTGTTCATCTTGTTCATCAAATTTATCGCATGTTGTTTTATGCGGAGTCTTTAATGATCCTGTCAAATTACACTTGGAACATTAATGTTATGTTGGCAATTGAGTGGTGAAAAGTGAGGTGCTGTGATGATTATTAAAGCGCTTTTTACCTATGGAAATCCCAATGCTGGAGTGGTAGAAATATGATTATTGCTTCTGAATTCACTTCTCTTTACTAATCTCTTCAGTTAACTTCTATTCCAAGGACCTCCTCCTTTAACTTCTATTCACCAAGTTGGAAACAAACAAATGATAGACTGTCAACTTCAACTTCAACTTCAACTTCAATACATCCACCTTCTTCTGGAATAGTCATTGCAGTTGCTGGATTTTTACTATATTTAACTTCAATTAATCTTTAACTTGCAATTCATTGTTTGTTTCTTCTCTTTTATTTTTTAGGCTTTCGGAAAAGAAATTTATGTTTCATTCTTTTTACATCTTGACAGGTTATAAAAGCATTTGGCCATCCAGATTTCTTTAATGCCATTTTTCCACAATTAGTTGGGATGTGCAATTCTGCTGTTGCCAGTAAATCTGGCCCAATGCCTATGCCAAGTGATGCTTCTAAAACAGGTTCTTGCACATTTCCAGTTATTCACTTCAATTCTAAAATTTTATATATAATTGAGAGAGTGAAATTACCAAGTTTGGCAGGTTAATTTCACTTGTGGTTTACCTAAGGGGTATGCACATTGTAACATAAGAATATCTAACTTCAATTTGCTAACAATAAAATACCTCGGCCCATTTTTACCGGTAATACACGTGGATTAATTTTAGTATTATTTTTTTAACCTAAATTTATATAGTTTCTCTCACATCCAGTTAGATTTGTTTCTCGCCACTTTTGCTATTTTTTGTCTCTCTCCTCTACCTGTTCCGCGCCATCAAGCTTCCTCTCCCCAATCTGCATTCATCTATGACTGACAATATGAATGATTTTGTCTGCATATTTTGTATTGGTACCGACCTGGAGTTGGAGGATGGTCATGCTGATTTAGTGACCAGCATTTTTTTTTTGCTTTTTCATATTAGAAACTTTGAAAATTTTGATGAAATTTTGAAAGTTCCTGCCATTTGTTATGAAGTTTCTAAATCTTCTCCAATGGTAATATTTTTTTTCCCTTTTTATTTTTTTTTTGAAATTTTATTACTATTTTTAGAAGTCACATTTTAAAACTTTTTAAGCCTTCTGAAAAATCCAAAAAAAAAAAAAAAAGTATCGTCTGTCACATCCATTTAGATTTGTTTTCTCGCCAACTTATTGCTTTATTTTTTTGTCTGCTCTTCCTCTAGCCTGGTTCACGCGCGGCATGCGAAAGCTTAGCTCATGGCTCGCCCAATCTGCTATTCATCTATCGACGTGAGAGGACAAATATTGAATGATTTTGTGTGCATATTCTTGTAATTGGTAACCCAGTACTGTTGACTTGGCGGATCTGATCATGCGTGCGGAGCTTTCGGTGACTGGAGTTGGGAGGATGGTCTGCTGATTTATGTGTGCACCCAGCATTTTTTTTTTTTGCTTTTTCAATTATTAGAAACTTCTCGCACAAGTTTTGATGAAATTTTGACAAGTTTCTGCGCATTTGTTATGAAAAGTGTTCTAAAATCTCTTCCCCAATGGGCTAATATTTTTCTTTTTTCCCTTTTTATTTTTTTTTTTGAAAATTTTATTACTATTTTTTAAGAAGTCACATTATTAGAAACTTTTTAAGCCTTCTGAAAAATCCAAAAAAAAAAAAAGAAGAGGGATAAGAAGCTCAGAATATTTGCAATGTGAAGATTCAAATGCTATCAACTAAAGAATGCTTCAAGCTGCTGCCACCATTAGCGGTACTGATTAGAATTGATGAGAAGAAGGAATCTGCACGTATTGATATTGCTAATGGTGAAAAGAAGAAGAATGAAAAGAACGGGTGGGTTGGACCTAATCTGAGCGAGGAGATGTATGTATTAATGAGAGGGATTGTTTATTTGGCGTAGTTTGATTTCTATCGTTCTCGTGTTGTGGCATGAAAAATCTTGGTACTGCTAGCCTAGTGAAATAATGTTGCTTTGTTTGTGAAAAATGGGCGAAGAAGAGATGGGAGGAGAGAGCGGGACTGCAGATCTAATTATAAAAAGGAAAGAGAAGGTTGAGAAGGAAAGTGAGACAGATAAGTAGGACCAAAGAGGAAGAGAGATGGAAAAGGAAGCGAGAGATTAAAAAGAGAAGATGAGGAGCCTTCTTCGTTTTCCTTTTGTTTTAGATGGACATCCAATTCAAGTAAGAAAAAAAGTCCAGCATATCACACCTACAGTGAGCGCCGGTTACATGTAGGCCCTGAAAAAAAAAAAAAAAAAAAAAAGAGGGAATAAGAAAGACTCAATCTTGCAATTGAGATTCAAATGCTAATCAAAAAGAATTGCTCAAGCTGCTGCCACCATTAGCGTACTGATTATTTGATGAGAAGAGGAAATGAGTTGTTCATGGTGAAAAGAAGAAGATGAAGAAGGTGGTGGACCTATGAGGAGGATGTTATGTATTTTGAGAGGATTTTTATTTGGGTATTTTGATTTCTTTGTGTTTGGCATGAAAATTTGCTGCTAGCTATGAAATAGTTGCTTTGTTTTGAAATGGGGAAGAAGAGATGGAGGAGAGCGGATGCAGATCAATGAAAGGAAAGAGAAGGTTGGAAGGAAAGTGAGACAATAAGAGGAAAAAGGAAGAGAGATGAAAAGGAACGAGAGATTAAAAAAGAAGAGAGAGCTTTTCTTTTCCTTTGTTAGTGGACATCCAATTCAAGTAAAAAAAAATCCACATATCCACCTACGTGGCGCTCCGGTCATTGGAAATCAATGAAAATGGACAAAGGCATTTTAATGTTACCAAATTGAAGTTAGGATATTTTTAAGTTACAAATTGAAGTTAAGATATTTTTAAGTTACAAATTGAAGTTTGGCCACGATAATGTGCATACCCTTTAATGTTAGGTCCCATCACTGAAATTAACCCAAGTTTTGCCAAGTAAAATGGTAGTGGAATTACTGTTTAGTGAAATCTGAAGCACTACTATTGCTTAATGTAACTTAGAACATCTATTGTTCAATAATCAAGATTGGTTTCACTTGGAAGGTTCCATGTGGATCCTGTTATACTTTTATGCTTTTCCTTCATTCATCCTTTGCATATCCTTCTTCACTTCAGAGAAGCTCTATTATGTGTAATTGATATTCCTTGTATCCAGTCTACAAATAAGATCTTTGGAAGTTCTGAGTTCTTACCATTAAAAAATTTATCAAAATATTTTTCCACCTTCAGATGATCTCATCATCTTAAATCAAAATCTTGTAATCCTCATTGTTAAGACACTTATTCTCAGTGGTCCTTGTTGTATTCCAGTCAATTTGGATCTTCCTCTACTCCCGGCCCAAGCTTTTGTAGCTCATTTATGAATTTGCTAATGGCTTCTTGAATTGCTTTTTCTAGCTTCCTTCTTACTTGGACTGTGTTGTTTGATACACATCTTAGGAGATAAGGCAGGTTACTGACTATATAAATTGCTGTAACTACAGGTTGCACATCCTTGTTTGATAACTAAAGTAGCTCACTACCCTTTTGGTTCACTGAGCGTTTCTACTGCTTTTTAATGTATATAAATGCCCAGATACCATGCATACTCTATGGCATGTATATCCTTCGGTATCGACTTCCTTCTTTGTTTTTTTTTTTCCCACCTTTTTTGTTGCCAAAAATATTTGTTTTATGTTATGAAACCTTTCCTTGATTGTTATTTTTAAGGTTTCCATATGATCAAAGGTATAACTACGTTTTTCTCTTTCCAAATTAGTTTATGATCGTTTTTTCAATTTGAGCTAAATTTAAGTCATTGACTGTGGAGCATATTTGTTTTTCTCATTTCTGTTTTCCCTTTATTTCTTTTTTATCTATTTTCCCTTATTTGTTGGTGAGAATATATGATGAATTTTATATCTCTGCATGCCCAATTTCAGTTCTTCTATGTTGTTTCACTGCTTCCTGTATTACGACACAACAAACTAGAGCATGCAATTCAATAACTCTTGATATGTTTGTTAGGATTGAATGTCAAAGCTTTATGGGACAATATGGTAAGGTAGTCTGAGCATTATATTTTGTTGAATGCAGAATCAGATGATGTTGAAGACTCTTCTGCTCCATTGGAAAAAATTCTGGGCTGCGTGACGTCTTGCATCCACGTGGCACATGTCAATGATATTCTTCAACAGAAAAACAACTTGATGAACATGTTATTAATTTCTTTCTCACCTGGGTTGCAGTGGACAGGTATCTGATTTTGCCAAATTTACTGCCGTGTTTCTTGCCAAATTTACTGTCATGTTTCTTGCCAAACTTTGCTTACAATGAACCCTTATGGCCAGTCAAAATGTCAGCATTTTCGTTAATTAAAGAACTTTGCTCGAGGCTCAGTATCTCTGAGGACACTCATGGAATGTCTGTACATGGTAGCAATACTTCTTTAGTTCAGGAGGTAATCAGAGCTCATCCTCAGTCTGATATCTAGTATCTTAGCTAACCCGCCAGTTTAGAGATTGATTAATTGTTCTTTTTGTCTTCAGTTGTTTCGTTCTTTATCGCCAAAAATCGTTGAATGCATAAGCATTGTAAAGATTGCCCAGGTATGTCAATCTTTTTTCCTTGTTTAGTTTGTGAATCATAAGTCAACTTCCCCTTTATGTCAGTAGTTATCTAGAAAACCATGAATCTTAATGCTAAAGCTTCTTTAAATAACAGATTAAAAAATGAAAAGCATAACCAAGTTTGAGGAGTTTGGCATTGCCAAAGGATTTCCGGTTTGTCTCAAATGTATGTCAGTTAATTTTTCACTGATGAGGTTTTACTCTGGATTTAGGTTCACATCACTGCCTCGGAGTGCCTCGTGGAGATGATGAGGCTGTACAGACAAGTAGCACCCTTGCGCTGGACAGACGTCGGGTTTAAAGAAGAGCTTCTTCACCAATATGAGGTGGAAAAGAATGAGGAGGCCAAATCATATTTGAAAAAATGTATCGACGACTTCGAAAACGCAGAATAAGAGAATGTGCAAGCAGCCTGAATGAAGCAGATTTTTTGCTATGCTATCGTTCTACCAAATGCTAACACCTTATTTAATTTAATTCTATTTCGTATGATATATTTGAGCATTGGAGATGAAAATCAGATATGGGTTTATACTGTGGTGGTGCTTGCACGTATTGCTAAATTGCTAAATTATGTCTGCATCTGCCAAATTTTTTCAAATTATTTTATCCATACGAATCAAACTAAAGCAAAATAAAGACGAAATGTAAGCCTTTCTTTATGAAGCAAATGAGGGCGTGCAGAGAAGATCAAGGAGGTGGGTAAAAATTAGATAATATTAAGTGAAAATAATTATTTAGTTTTTGAGGTTTTATAAAATTAATTATTTCATTTTTGTATTTTTGTATATTAGTAATCTAGTTTACGACATTTGATTCTGTCTTAATAATAAATCCTTCCGTTTGAAATCAGTCCATTTTTAAACTATTTTTCTGTTAAAAGAGGATAAAAAGCAAGAAAAAGAAGGTATATATTTTAAAATGACAGAATTTTAATTGCATACAAAATGGAGAACTTTGATTGTGAAGACGAATTTTAATTGCATACAAAATGGAGAAGGAAGCGAAGAACTTTGATTGTAAAGATTTCAAAGCCCTCTTAAACCTCATTCTCTCCCTTTTTCTCTCACAAAATTAGCGTCAAAATTGCAAGATAAGATTGTTTGGAAGTTGAAACCCGTGAACTTCTAAGATGGTTCGAAGTCGAAATCCAGTGAGCTTCTCTTCCACTAAATGCTCAATTCCATATTCCTTCTTGGCCTTTGTTGTTTATTTATTCGCGTTTAGGTATTTATCGCTCTTGCTATCTTTCTATTTGGGGATTTTATTGTGAATTTTTCATGATTATGGAACCCTAGGTGACCATGGCAAATTTGATTTTGCACCTCAAGACTCTTTTGCAATCAATTGATTCATAGAAAAATATCGTTTCTCTCCATATCCCAGTGCCAGTATATAACATTTTAAGAAACAGCCTTTTCTTTATTTTCTTGCTTCTCCCTTTTGGTTTATACTGCAAAAACTTAACAATTTCTTTATAGTTTATACTGCGAGAACTTCATAAATTAAGAATGAACAAGTTCTTTGGCCAAGTGAAACTTAGGACAAAAGGATAATTTTTCGGTGCTTGCCACATCATTAATCACTTTTAACCAGTCAATGATGACGTGTCATGCTATGTTGTTAAGTTACTAGGCTCAAATGAAATCCACCGTGTGCTGCTTCATATTTCTAGTGTCTAATTCATCGGTAAACACCTGATTGTAAGTTTTAAAAGTTCACATACCCAATTAAAAAACTTTTTCTGTTCAAAACTTCAAATTGTAAAAATTTAAGAAGTTTAGATACAGAATTTGTCATTTATCCTTAAATATTTAATAACCTAAATATGAATATGGGTGAATTTAGGTGGACTTGGCATATGGTGATCCGATCCATTATTGGCGTTCTGTTCCTCAACTGTTTCCAAAGAGAAATTTTTGAAAAAGCAGTTAATTAAATTTTTTATTTTCTACCTGGGAGGAGGTAACATAGCCTATACTATGTGTTAGCATTCAGTTAGTTTGGTTAGTTTTAAACTAATTATTAAAAGAAACCGAATAAAAATAATCAAACAAATCAAAAAGCAAATAATAAATTTTTAATAACCGAACCGAGAAACGTTGAAGACTAATATATATATATATATATATATTGTAATAGTTAGAAAATATGTCTAATCAAATAAAAATGATAATCATCTAACCTTTTATATAAATAAATTAGAAATTATACTATAATTTCTCATACATAAAAATAATTATGCAGTGAAATAAATTTCTATCAAATGGATTTAACTATTTATTATAGATTAGGAATGTTATTATAATTTTTTTTAGGGCCATAATTTTCAAAACTTAGCATTACTCTTTTTATTATTAGAGTTGGTTGAACTGAAACCGATTAAATCAAATACGTAATTTTTTTTTTTCTATATTTGTCTTTAAAAAAACAAACAAATGCGATTTAGAAAATAATTTATTTTTTCTTATTACTGTAATAGGACATCTTGATACTTGATAGTAAATGCAACGTTACAGGGGCAGTTCCGTCATTAAAAAATTTAGAATCCATCAAGTAAAAATCAAAGACTAAAAGAAGTCACCAGTCTTCGACATCTCAATTCTCAAATTCTTACAGAGAAGAACAAAGCAGAAGGAAAATGGACGAAGAAGAATTTCGACGCCTTCTCGATCTCTTCCCTGTGGTCCGATCTCGCGATTACCATGTAAATTCTACTCTCTCTCACAATCTTTATTTACGAAATGTTCTATAGTTTCTTCTAACAACTTTCTTGTTCGATTCCAGTATGACTCGGACCCATCAAGGCAATCAACTTCTCGGCCACCGCAAAATGCCGCGGTAACAGTAATAATGTTTATATACTCTCTATATAGTTTGCAATTTTGTGTTCACTGATTATGACATTTGAATTTCAGGTTAAAAAGTGGGAGGATGAGTGGGAAGAGAAAGAAGGAGATAAGAAGGAAATTTCAAATCAAGATAATGATCTACATGGTATTTTATTGCTTTAAATTTCGTGAAATGTGGAGATTTCATTTGGGTCTTATTTGTTTTGTCTGTTAATTTATTGTTTTGCATTTGGGTTTTGCACTTTTGTTTGAATAGATGCATTTTGGGAGAAGCTAATGTTGGCAGTCGAGAGGAAGGTATGTTTATGTCTTTGTGATGATAATAACTATACAGGAACAATTTTATAGTTCAGTTACTGGTTCAGACATATTAGGGTGTGATTGGGGTTTCTTTTTTCCTGCGCCATTCTATAAGCTTATATGTTTTGCTTATATGATATAAAAAATTATTGCTGTTTTTATAAAATTGAGCCCATGTATGTTGCCTGATTTTAATTTTATGAGGTGCTGTTGTTTAATTTGTTTATGGTGATTATTTGTATATTGATGATCAGGTTCACCTAATCATATATTTGTTGAAGCTCCACATGTTTCACCATATGCACCGACTAGTATTGGCTTATTATATTAGATTATGCATCTAGAGTATTAAGTAGCATTATTGTCAATGTTACCTCTTCTTGCACATTTGAACTTCTCATGTTTGTGGCTTATTTAGCTTTTTCGTCCTATTTCTTTGTATAGATTTACGATGTATAGGCTTCTTTGGTGATTGTAGACTAAGATTTGAAATTAAGCTTTGTTCGTCCTATTCAGCTTTGTCCTCTTTACACTTGTAATATTTTTGTGTGGGTATGTATCTTTGTTATGAGTTAGGCTTTAAGTACATTGGAAACCTTGAAAATGACCAAAATTTTGCACCACTTTTCTAAACCATAAACACTAGGGCACGAAACTGATCATCTTTTGCTTCAACTGTGATTTCTGGAAAACCATTGCTGTTTTTAATTTTTATCCAAGCATTAGCTTAATTGGTAGTAGTACCTCTCCTTTGAGATAAGCAAGTTCAAGTCTACTCTCCTCTCAAAATAAGAAAGAAAAAGGAGACAGGCTGCACAATGTGGAGGTTATTTTAGTTCTGAAAGTACTCATAAATCTGTCAATATTAAGCCTTTTTGTCAAATATCACCTACAAATAGATGGGAACACACTGATTGTGGACCTTTTTACCAATGTGGCAAGGGATTCAATAAAAATGTGGCATTTGGAGCTTGCTATTATTATCTATTTTGGCTAGTTGCTTAATTACCAAAATGTTTTGCTGATGGTGATTCCCATTAAAATAGTTATTCTGATCAAGGGACATATGTTTTACTTGTTATCTTGATGTTCTGAAATAGCACTGGTCGACAACTGTACAAATTGAAAGCAATTCATGACAATATTGATTGAACAGTTTTAAGTGAAATTATATTATTTTGGTCTCAAGTTCACCTATAGCTTAATTTAGTTTCAGAAGTAGAAACATTTTTGGGAATAGCAGCAGATTTAAAGCAATGTTGTTATGTTTACTACTTGAAGGTTTGATATGATTTAACATCATTTTTGGAACTTGAAGTATTTGTGCAAGACTTTGATTGTTTAAGTTTAACTCGATTCAGTTTTTGAGGAGGAAAACAAAACATTCATATTATGTTAGAAAAAAAAAAAGCAGGTTGCCCTTACAGCAAATGATGTGTAAATTTATCTGGGTAAAATCTCTTTACCATAGCAGCTTCAGGAGATTTTCGATAGTAAATAATCGAAAGATTTATTTCATTTCACTATAAAGAGTTGATGCTTCCATGTGTTACGATTTCTAGGGCCAACTTTGTTGTGTTGCTGGATTTGTAGGTGGGAGCTTCAGAGGCAAAGAGATTTTGCAGCGCGTTCAAACAAGTTCATAGGCGACTAGTATGCACCATATTCTTTACTATGATGAAGCAAATTTTCCATTTCCTTCATTTTCCTGTTATTGATTCAATGAAATTCCTATTTTCTTCTCTGTAGGTATATGAAGAGCTTAGTTTGGATGCTGCCCGTAGCTTTATAAACTCAACTAGTTCTGGGGAACGGTTCTTTTCCTAGCTGTAATTTTTCTCATTTGGATCATTAGTAGTTGCTGAATATTACTTCAAATCAAACGAGATCTAATTTTGTTTACAAAATTGATCATCAATGTATCATGTGTAACTATTTTTTTTTCTTTTTTTAGAATGCGTAAATTTACCTTTGTACTTTTCACAGATAAATATTTTGGCATCATCACCTTTTACTTTAATCTATTAAAGATTTCAATTTATACATTTATTAAAACATTTAGGACAATTGTAAATTTTGGTAAATTTTTTAGAATTTCTCGTTTTGATGTCTGAACGAAAAACTATTGCAATCAGACAGAAGAACATAAATAAATTGTCAATCAAGTTTCTATTTTCTATTGCACACGCAGCTCATCTGAATTTTAAATAGAACCGTTTGAATGTTAAATAGTATGGTTGGGGTAAGCTAAATGAAATTATATTTTTGTGCATTTTTTTTTTATTTTCCTAATTAAAACTTAGGGTTTTAGCTATCGAAAATCGTAATTTAATTCAAAAAATCAACCAATTAAATATAATGGAAAAACCAAAATTGAGAAAAATAATAGCATTTGTAAATTGTTATTTGGATTTATTTACTATAATAAAGAAATTAATATTTGCTTATATAAATTATTTTAAAAAAAATTAAAAATTAAAAATTAATTTTTTTTAGTGTAAAGTACTAGGTCTTGTAATTCGGCTCAGTCACAATTAAAGTTTTTCGCTCTTCTCTGTAAGTGTATTTAGTGGGAATTAAATTTGAGAACTCTTCTTATATGTATAGACTACGTTGCCATTTAAGCTACAAGTCGTAGGTAAAAATTAAAAATTAATTTAATTATTAATGATGAGTGAAAAAAAAAAAAAAAAAGCTGTTAATTTAAATTCAAAAATTCTTTATATCCAATTAAATATAATGGAAAACCTATTATAATTGAGAAAAATAATTAGCATTTGTAATATTGTTATTTGATTTATTTACTATAATATAGAACATTAATATTTGCTTATATAAATTATTTTAAGAAAAAATAAATTAAAAAATTAATTTTTTTTTAGTGTAATGTACTTTAGGTCTTGTAATTCCGCACTTCAGTCACAATTAAAAGTTTTTCGCTCTTCTCTGTAAAGTTTATTTAGTGGGAAATTAAATTTGAGAACATCATTTCTTTATATGTTATTTAGACTTACGTTGGCACATTTAAGCTACAAGTCACCGTAGGTAAAAATTAAAATTAATTTATTATTGAATGATGAGTTGATAAATAAAAAAAAAAAAAGCTAAACTTAACTCCGTACAGTTTAATTGAAAAAAAAAAAAAAAAAAGCTAAACTTACGTACAGTTAAGCTTTCTTTTTGTTTTTGCTTTTTCTCCGTACTAGTATTTTTCAGATAAAATCTCTTAACAGTAAATTTTGCAAATAAATTTCATATGAGCATTTAATCCACTTATTTTTCTTTTTTTTTTATTTTTTTATTTCTCTCAATCCCTGTCTTTATCTCTTTGTTTTTTGAAGAAAGGATTACAGAAAATCATATGTTTTCAAGTTAAGCCTGATGTAAATGGAATTTCTCCTCATCCATGAAATCAATTCATGTTGCATATCACTTCAATTTCTAACAAGTCTCTATTTTTGTTTTGTTTATTTTTCTTTATTTATAAATCTAAAAGGGAGAAATTATTTCAAATTTACTTTTTTTTAAAAAAAATTACAAAGGAGGAGAAGAATAGAACTAAGACTGTCGTATCTTCTCTTGACTCTCTCGCGATTAGTCATGCTTTTACTGTGTTGCATTAACCATAAAACCTACTCTGCTCCTTTCCTAACTATTAGTCTTCATAGTTGACTAACTCTCTCTTCGTCTGATAATTGATGATTTCTCCTTATACATTATCATTTAAAGAAATTTAATAAATTAATTTTGAATTACAGTATTCAACTAATTATATTTAATCTGATTATAGTATTTAATAAATTAATTAATTTTGCAATACAAAATATGAATTTTTAATTGTTCCTAATGATAATATTTTTTACTATTGTAATCATGGAATAGTTTTTTTAAAAGAAAATGTAGAATCATCTTTATCATCGGTTAATTAAACTATTCAGTCTGTTCAGCTAGCACCACCTAAGCAAGTCATCGTTGATGAACTTAAGCTTGATATAAAAAACACTCCTAATTCAAGATGCATGACCTAACATAGTGAGTTATTATCCACCTAATATTAGAAATCATATACGCAGAGTTTATTTACTGAATGATCCATGATCTACCAATAATTTTTTGATGGTACATATGTTGAAAGAAATATATTTACAAGTATTGACGATGAAATTATTATAAATAGATTTCGGTCCATGAAAAATAGGTAAGAATTATTGTAATTTATTTGTCAATTATGTATATATTATGTATATTATTTTTGTAAATTAGATATATTTTTAATGGAGTCCTTTCTTTTATGAGATCTTGGTACAATGATTTTCAAAATACCAGTTGAATTAAACATTCACTCAAAAACTGAAATTTTCTCGTGAAACTCTTTGCAGATTTAGTTGATCCATCAATGGCTTCTATTATAATAAAAAGATAAATTGAATCCTCAATAAAAATCAAAAAAGAAATAAGAAAGAAGTAAAAAAAACACCTGAATATAGAGAATTAAACGTACATAGTCTATAAATTTCCAATAAAATGTCACTCCTCTTGTAGGAGAAATAAAATGAAAAGGAGAATAGTTGATTGATAATAAGGGATAAGATTATATTTCAAAATTGAATTTAACTTAGATTTTAAAATTGAGTTAACTTAGATTTTATCTGCTTATTAAATATTAAATTAGATTAAATTTGTAAAAGAAAATATTCAAAAAGTTATTAAAATAAAAAATTTATAAAAAAATATAAAAATGAAAGGTCAAAGAATAAAATGTCAAGTCAACTTCTATACACACCTAACTCAAGGATTATATATATACACACCTAACTCAAGCTCTACATTTATATAAGAGTATCCATGATCTAATAGCGATATGGATATCTCTCTTCACACAATATTGTGCCATGTAATGCTATCAATAAATTTATTATCATAATTTATATCCTTGATAATTTTAATATTTGCATCTTGATGAATATTTTCAATTAAAATTATAAAATAGAGCTAAGGAGTACAATTGTAATCATTATTATTATTTTTTTTATGTAAGATATGTCTTCTTTATTAACTATTTATAGCATTTGGTATACCAGTTGTACATCAAGCACCAGTGGTCTAGTGGTAGAATAGTACCCTGCCACGGTACAGACCCGGGTTCGATTCCCGGCTGGTGCATTAGTCGTTTTCCGACTTTTTTTTGCCCTTTTATTTTATTTGGATATCATTTTTTTTTTTTTCTAAAAAACTCAGCTTGCTAAATGTAAAATTTCTTAACCCGTTAAAGAAAAAATATAGAGCCTTTTGTTTTTTTAAAATTAAGAATTTAAGTTTACAAAATTTTATTAGAATTCTTTTATTTCACCTAAATATTAATTAGATCCCATATGAAATTAATACTTCTTAAAATTTATCTTGACATTTAATTGGTTCTACACTATGAGATTACTTTAATTTTTTAGTTAGGATACGTGTCTTCATGTTCGGACTGATGTGGTATTTAAATAAAACTCTTTAACAGTAGTGATTTTAAGTTTTAAATGATTAATCTTACTGGTAAATTTACTCGGAAATATAATTTACTTCTTTTTATCCAACGCCATTTATTAATATATAAGATCAGTTTATTAATCATAAGCAAGCTAGATTTTTAACTGAGAAATATAAGCTAGCTTTTTTTTACGATATAAGCTAGATTAGAGTTGCTATCAACGCTGTGTTCATGCAAACATATATTGGAGGAGTCTCATGTCCTTATATTTGCTCAAAGAGGCTTGATCATGGAGTGTTGTTGGTTGGATATGGTTCGGCTGGCTATGCTCCTATCCGATTGAAGGAGAAGCCATACTGGATTATCAAGAACTCCTGGGGAGAAACTTGGGGAGAGAGCGGATATTACAAAATCTGCAGGGGTCGCAATGTTTGTGGAGTAGACTCCATGGTGTCAACTGTTGCTGCAGTTCAAACCTCCTCACAGTAGGCTGGTGCATACAGCGATGTTATGTATGCTGGATCTTCTGTATATAAGTATGTTATAATATTATGTCAGCTTTGATAATTCGAACTGTTTATCTGTCATATGTCCACCCAAAGCATTGGATTGGAATTTCCTGGAAATTCCTCTTCTTGAAAAATATTTATTGAAAAATATAAGCTAGATTAGAGTTGAAACTTTGATACTCCTCACTTGAAAAATACTTTAATGTGTCAAAGTAATTAATAATTCATTTCTTTTTTTTACGAAAAAAATGGACTACTAAATGTGTTAATGATTGTTTCCGTCGGCTCAGGTTACCGGAGTTTGCAAAAGCCCGGCCTAAAGAACCCTAATTCAAGTGGGCCAAGCTCCTCAACAATATTTAGATATCATGCATAACGGGGTGCGCTCATGGTGGATCGAACCTTAATAATTCATTTCACATATTGAATACTTGCTTAGTATTACTAAATAATAATTAAAAATTTTCAAATTTAACTTCCTTTTCATTTTCATTTCTTATTTGATAGTATAAATTTAAATTGTATAATTCATTTAATTACAAGTACTAAAATTTGATTGACTTACGTTAAAACCATTAATTAAATTTGTTTTTTTTTTTAACGAGAGAATACACAGTTTCATTTATACTAAAAATAACTATGAAAACGCAAAATTTTAAATAAATCTCAAAATATTTTTTAATTTATTTCATGACCAAACAAGACCTCAAAGATTTTCAATATACAAAGAAATATATTAAACATATCTAGAAGGAAGATGGATTGTGTTTTGTTAATTAGAATTTATCAATTTAGTGTTATACACTAAACTAACATATTAGCCATTGAGAGCCAACCTAAGATGGAGTAGCTAGCTGAGGGAAAGGAAAATAAATAAATATTTATTATTAATTAATAACCACATGTCCATTAAAAAAAAAAATGGGAAGCAAAAAAAGTAGAGAGAGAAAGAAAAGGAAGGCAGATGCTCATTACTAATTTTCAACCACCAAAAAGTCATGAAAAGACCAAACAAACATAAATATATTTTGGTAGTCATTACTCTTCAAACTCCAT